TTAAATCAATAGGTATTATTTACCCAAAACGTCCTGTCTCTGATGAAAACATGCCACTTTGAAGATCACTTGGGATAAATGYTACAGTCGTAGACCCTTTGTTTGCAACAAGAGTACCATTACAGACCTGTCTTWGCAGCTGCAGCATGCGAAGGTCGCRAGACTGTATACCATGAGGAYTCYTATTGCATTCAATGTTGCTTAATCTTACAGGTGCTCCCAGTATTGAGCTCAGTGATACCACATTACATAGAAAGGTTGTAGACTAAAATAAATAAAAGGGAATGCAAGTATAAAGATTTTATTACTAGAGAAGCACGGGTGGTGTGCRCTGCTAATGCGCTGYCTCTCAYGAATGCAACCCGGGTTCGACCTCTGCCAGTCTTGGTGTCSTATGTGAGTAGAGTTGTRTGTTGGTTYTCTCCTTGGCTTCAAAAGTTTTTCCTMYGGGTTCTCCTGTTTTTCCTCCCTCCACAAAAGTCAACWTCTAAATTGTAATTGGATCTACTGGCTGCYTTATCAATTGGGTCGCAAGGCCTGTTAGGCACCCAGGAGTGGTATATGCATTAGATTTTTTTTAGAGATTTTTAATATGATTAATCTGAACATTAACGCCAAGAGTGAAGGGAGTCCATGTTCAAGTTTCTTCTTCCACTATGTTCCATAGTATTCCAAACTAAACATTGATTGGTTCAGGTTATGTGTTAATTAACTATGCACCTGGTCATACATGCATGCATGGGTGAACACAATCTTGACTTTAATGGTAGATAGATTCAAGAAGCATACCTGTTCAATGTTTTTTACATCAATTTCAACCACATCATCCATCAGTCTTAACACTTTCTCTCCACTCTTTCTCTTTTGATAACTTCTCATCATGTAATATGTACCAATTTCTTTGTCATATTCTCTTCTTGTTTCTAGTTTACTCAAGACTGAATATGCTTTGGTGATATCTGAGGTGATAGTTGAATCAATACAGTTATAACAACACTGCATTCAAAGTCTTTTTGTTTAGAACTTACTGGCATTAGATATTATTGGAAATAAATGATGATAGGGTAGGTGGAGCAGATTTTAAAGTGGGAGAGTAAGCCCAGGGGGTACTCTTGCCTGTTTAGGGTTTAGGGTAGGGATGTGCCACTGAGCCCACTGAACCCTGACCCTGTTCCAGAGTAAAATTRCTGAAATTTATGCCCTGTTCCAGAGCAAGATCGCTGAAAACCTTACCCTGTTCCAGTATTGCGAAAATAGATACCCTGTCCCAGGGAGAAGAGAGCGTGATTTCATATACCCTGGCCCAGAGCGAGTGTGATTTTATATACCCTGTTCCAGAGTAGAATCACTGAAAACCATACCCTGTTTGGTGGCACGTACCCGTATAGTGAATATAGGTGAGTTAACCCCCCTCCCCCCTGGGAGCAAGGAAGAATATATCATATATCATTGTTTGTTTTGAGGAAAATAATAAATGTTTGTTCCTCTCCCCTGCAGTTAAAGTCCCTGGGGATCAAATGATTGACCTCAGTCTAGGAAGGTACATGTAGAGGTAGATAGGCTTACATACCTGTAAAGTTATYTCTTATTCCATCACTCCTTCTGACATCTGGGTGGTATTTCATTGACTGTTCATAGTAAGCAGACTTGATTTCTGATTGAGTTGCTGACGGATGTACCTCTAATATATCGTAAAACGTCTTTTCTTTCTTTCTATTTAGTTTCTTTACTCCTTGGCTAGAACATCTAGACTGACTGTAACACAGGGAACGAGGTCTTTGTAACAATTTATGAACTTTTGTTGAAAGTGGAAATGTAGAAAACGCTTGAAATAAATTTAGCTTCTTAAAAGCTCTTTTGCCGTGAGTAAATTCATTTATCAAAATTCGTGTATAATCGTTGGATAAAAATAATTTTAAGATATTAGAAGTTCTTGTTGTTTTGTGAATACTTTGTTGTTGAACTTGAACAAAACGGGTAACAGATACCGGAAAATTCATTGTCTAGTTGCTAGAAAATACAAAAAAGGCCTGCATGGAAAACTTTAGGCTCCATGAAAGTGCATTTCCTCCATGAAATATTCAAATAGAAACTCGAAAAATCACAAATAATAATATCTAAACGTCCGCCATCATGTTTTTCTAATGCAAGGGTCTGGGAACTAAATACCACAGGCTACCCGTGCATTCATCCTTAAATTTCGTTGTGTTTGCATGTGGTTATGATTTWAAAAAAAAAATCAGATCTGGTAGAAGAAATGGTAGAAAGCTAAAATATCGTTTAATTTGTGTTTTATGGCATTTACTAAATTGGAAGAAGTTATTTTGTTACTATTTTATATTACGAGATGATTACTTAACCGTGCATGACGAAAGCTGTTTAGAGAATTATATTTGCACCTTCAACTGAACATTATTATTATTATTATTATTATTATTATTATTATAAATCGATTGAAAAAGTATTATGTTTTATATTTACATTGGGCTCCATTTTGGGCTCATACTACTTCTAGTCAGCGGCATTCCCTGTTTTACCGCCTTTTGTCAGACTACGTGAGGATCATCGCCATGAAAACCAGGGAGATGTGAAAACTAAACAAGAAAGACTTTAAAATCAATTAACCTAACGATAATAGTAAGTAATATACTCAATATAGCTTATATGAGATAAGCATTTCAAACAAAAATTAGAGACAAAAATATTGGACGTTTTGAGGAAGTTTTCTCTCTGATTTTTCTCGCACTGAAATGTTTTTACTAAACCACTACTCATATTATTATATATGTAAAGTAAATACGACAAATTAATTGATATCACTCGACAGTATGTATATTGAATATCAGCATCTAAGGGACATTTGTTGATGTCTGGAGAGGTGCRGTACAATCAGTTGAACGGACTTATATGAGTGAGTACCGTGACCATATAAAGTAGTTTCTAAAGATGCTCAGAACAGAGGGTTAATATTATTCCTACAGCCATACTTCTCTCTTCTCTCTCTCTCTCTYTCTTTCTTTCTTTTCTTTCTTTCTTTCTTTATTCTTCTTTCTTTCTTCTTTCTTTTGTTCTAAAACGCCTTTAAATGAAAAATGCATGGACTGGGCTACCTGTGTTTCCCTCCGGGTGGGCAGGCACGCAACTAGGGCATGGTATCACGGCTTCAAGATGTCGTTATCATATCTTCGTTCATGTTTTCGTCTGCAAAACCACCTTTTCAGACAGGCAAAARCACTTCGAACTTTGACTACTGCAGGATCAGATAATCAAAAGCACCTAAAAAGTGTAGATGATTTACCTGGACCGCCAAGTGTTCCTGTATTTGGAGCAGGATGGCGTTTGATCGTTGATGGGATGTTGTCGAAGAAGCCACTTGGTAAGATTTTCCTCGACTCACAGGCCGAGGACGTCAAGAAGTACGGACCTATATTTAAAATCGATATACCAGGTATAAAACTCATTCAGTTAGCTGATCCCGATGAAGTTGCAAAAGTGCTACGAAATGAGCCAAAGTATCCCAAGCGTTTTGACTTTCCAGCTCTCAATTATTATCGTGAAATAAGAGATACGATTCCTGGTGTTTTCTTTGCTAATGGATCAGACTGGCACAAGCTACGAAGTACCGTWAGTAAACGTATCCTGAAACCTCGAGAAGTTGCTGAATATGCACCTACCTTCAATGAAATCATCACTGACTTTATTGAACGATTAGATAAGCTACGAATAACACCTGGAGGAGAAATGGAATACGAGGTAAAAGATATTGATAACGAGCTGTTTAAGTGGTCGTTCGAGTCAGTTGCCCATGTTTTATTTGACMGAAGGTTTGGCTGCCAAGGAGACGACGTGAATCCTGATGCACAGGCCTTTATCACTTCTGTTGGTGGGTTTTTAGCCACTGCAATTCAAATTGGTTTCCTTCCAGTCTGGTTTTACAAGATTTACGAAACCAAAACCTTCAAGGAATTTGTTTATCATTTTGATACGATGAACAAGTATGCTGAACTTTTCATCAACAAGAAAGTACAACAGCTGGAGAGAGAAGGAAGGTTGAAAAGTTCTTCTGCAGACAAAGAAAGCCAAGACGTGGAGAGAGTAGGATTCGTGGAATTTATTCTGTCTAATGATAACATGACAAAAGATGATCTCATGGCAAGTATCATTGATTTGCTGTTTGCTGGTGTAGACACAACTTCTAACACAATGCAGTGGATACTCTACATGATGGCCAAGAATCCAGACAAGCAAGACAAACTTTACCAAGAAATAACTTCAGTGTTGAAGAMAAATGAGCTTCCAACTTCAACTAACCTAAACCACATGCCATATCTAAAAGCTTGTGTAAAAGAAACATTGAGATTGTATCCAGTACTTTCATCCCAGAATCGACAAATACCAACTGATATGGAAATCCTTGGATATTGCCTACCAAAGGGCTCACAGGTTGCTTTCTTGAGCTTTTACATGAGTCGAGATGAAAAGAATTTCAAGCAAGCCAACAAGTTCATTCCAGAAAGATGGTTACGTGATGAGAATAACCAGATATCGGAGGCACTTCATGCATTCTCTTCCATTCCATTTGGTTTTGGGACAAGAATGTGTGCTGGGAGACGTATTGCTGAGCTTGAGCTATACCTGCTCACAACAAGATTGTTACAGAAATATGAAATAAAGTACCCCGAGGGTGAAGAGGTTGAACCATTTATGCGTGGTGTCACTATCCCAGACAGACCTCTTCGAGTGAAGTTCATTGAAAGATCAGCCACATCTTAAACATTTTCTCATATTGCCCAGTGATTGGGATTGTAACCCTTGCACTTGAAAATCCACCCTCTTACGCGTATTTTATAATGGACACTTCAATATGTATTTATTAAGGTTTTTAATGATCAATTTGAACTTGTAAAATGTTTTAATTAGAAAAATATACACCTGTACAAATTATGTAAGTAGACTCCCCTATCCTTTAGCACCAAAATCATAAAAACTTCTTGCGACACTTGAATCTGTCCATAAAAATATACTTAGTATGCAAGCAGGTTAGTAAATCATAGTATAATAGCACAGGGTTTTAAATATTCCCTGGAGACTGTACATGTAATTCAATGAATTAATTAGTCAATATTTTAGTGTGGTACAGTAGTATTTTCATCCATGTGATTAGATAAGCTTTATTTTTGCAATGTATTTAATGTATTTATTCAGGCAATATCTTGTATCCATCCTACACCAGCTTATAATTAAGACTTTCATATTTGCAATAAAATAAAGAAATGTTACCCATTATGTACACATGAAATAAACAATATAAATAAAGACTGTATAATAAAAATGTGGGTGGTAATTAATGATAGAAAAATAATTAAATAAGTAATCAATGTTTAAACTTGAATAAATCGGGAAATGAATAATTATGATATAAA